CTTGACTCTTGGGCCATTTGGGGATTGAACCAGCAGATGGAAGAACTCTCTCTGTCTCTGTTTCTCTGTCACTCTGCTTTTCAAATAAACAAATCATTAAAAACAGTGATTTCAAGCGTCCTGTTTTTAAGGCTGCTTATTCTTCCTTCTGCTAGTGAATCCTCCATGGGATGTTTTCAATTCAGTTATTCAGTTCCAGAATTTGTGTTTGATTCTTGCTATCATTATTTCATTTATTTGTTCACATTTGCTTGTAGCTCATTGAGTTTCTGTAAGACTTATGCATTCTTTGACAGATGAATCTTCCTGTCTTTAGACTCGGCTCTGGGGCATTTGTGTCTTTATCTGGGTCCTGTCTCCCTGCTTCTGCATACTCCTGTTAGGTTTTGCTGCAATTTGGGCATTGAGAAAGCAGCTCTCTGTGTCAGTTGAATTCAGCTTTGAACAGGGATGATCTTCAGTAATCAGCTTAGCTAGAGCATGGGCGAGCCTGTCAACCCCACTTGCCACAGCGGGGGTCGCGGGTGGGATGTTAGAAGGGTCTGCCAGAGACACTGCCTCTGGTGTCTGTCCCTGGTCCTGCAGGTTCTCTGCAGGTACAACTGGAAACCCTGAGCCGTGGCCTGCTCTCAGTGGTCTCCAAGCACATAAAGGGTGTCAGTTGCCCATGCCCTTCAAATCAGACAAGACAGAAGTACATCCCTCAGATGGCTAGTAAGTATAATGCAGGTATGTTCCACATGCCTTTCCTTCCCACGGGATTATTTACTCCCAGCTATGCTTGTCTAAGGGAAGGGCTGTCGCTTGGGAAAGACAGCGGCCTTTTTTACTCAGTTTGGGGCAGCTGTCCTTTGCCCTGCCCTTGCCTGCACAACTGTAACTTCTTACCTGCTTTCTGGAGTTCTCATAAAGCCTTGGGGCTCCATCTACTGTTAAGTCAGCATCTCTGGGGAAGAATTAAGTGTTAGGGCTTTGCCTTGCCATGTCGCTGATGCCGTTCTGGCCTGTGAGCCTGGCATAGCCTCAGGTCCTGCTGGGTTGCTCTCTTGAGCCTAGCAGGTCCCTTGCTGTGAGAATGGTCTCGGGCTCCGGTCCTAGAGTAGGCCCTGCAGGCTCAGTGGCTTCGCTGCTGGCACTGGAAGACTGCGTTCCTGTGTGCTAGTTTCCTCTAGTTCTGTTCTCTATGCCTTTTCCAGCCCAGGCACCCTATAGTCATCTCTTAGAGATGTTGCTGTGGGGAGCCAACTGCTCTGCACTGTGCCTGTCTTCCCACCATGCCCCATGGCTGCTTCTCTGCTGTACTCTATCGGGATTCCCATTTCAAGAGTCTCCCTTGAAAAGCTTTGGTGGAAGGTCATGGTCATGGGGCAGAATGAATTTGTCCTTTTCCTAGACATGCAAGGCGCTCACCTGTTCTAATGTGAGTAGATTCCTGTTTCATCTTGGGTTTTCTTTTAGACCTAAACAAGTCAAAATACCTGAAATACTTTTTTTTTTTTTAAACGGTTTTGCCCTGTCAGCTCAGTTAATAAAAAGCAGCTCCCTGCCTTGAACAGAAGGGTTGTATGGGAAATCTAAACTATTTTAAAAATTGATCTTTTGGTACACAGTGCTATAAGCATTGTTTAGGCTTCTTGGCTAGGCCACACAGTTTACTGAATCCATCCTGACACAACTAAAATTCTGGGTCCTGTATAAAGGAACCAGCAAGATGGAGGGGTGGAGGTGGGGCAGTCCTGATATTTCCTTTCCTGACCGTGGAGCTGACGTGGGGTCTTTGTGCTTCTCCCTCTTCCTTGAAGCCAGTTGCAGCTGCATCTCTCTCACTTTGCTCCCGTTCGCCAGGACTGTCCAGGGAAAGGGGGCATGATCAGCACCCGCTAATCACGATGATAAGCCAATATCCCGGAAGGGTTTGTGTTTTTTAACCTTCCCTGGGGTGTTTTCACTTTGATGTAGAGGTCTGTGGTGGGAGGGAGTCCAGGAGCAAGGCCAGTTTGGGGGCATCAGCTTGGCAGACGAGGTGTGGTTAGGAAGCGGTGAATGCCAGCCACCCTCTGAGCAGCCTGGTTCTGGGTCCCCACTCTTTACCCTTCTGCAAAACCAGTGAAGGTCAGGTGACCAGTTCCCCCAGCTGCTTTCACACGCTTAACTCCAAAGGAAAAGGCTCAGTTCTCTGGTTTGGGTCTGTTTACTGACAAAATGGGTAATTATGACCAAGCAGGATTAAGGGGTGAGCAGAACATATGTAATTCAATGTGGGATCCCTTGTTCTATTTTACAGATTTTTTTTCCTTTCTCCATATAAAAGCAAAACATGTCCACTAAGTTCTAAAAATAGAGAGCACTCATAATGTTAACCATCTAAAGAAAACCATAATAAAAAAAGGAAACAACCGTCATGCAGATGTTAGTGTATTTAACCGCAGAGGATCACTGCTAAAAGTCTCACTCTGTACTTAGACAAGTTTGATCGGCCTCTCCCTTTGATTAACTGTCTAATCGATGTCAGCTTCTTTCAATTTATGAAGTTCTTGAATTTTTAATTTATTATTACTTTTGCTTTTTGTGAAAGGCAGAGAGACAGAAATTTTCCATTCTCTGGTTTGCTCCCCAGTGCTGGGCTGGGCTGAAACCAGTGGCTCGAAACTCTGTCTTGGTGGCAGGAACCCAAGTGTACGAACCATCACCTGTTCCTTCCCAAGGTGGGCATTGGCAGGAAGCCGAATCAGAGAGGAGCTGGCATATTCAAACCAGAGCGTTCCGATAGGGGATGTGGCTGCGCCAAATCCCTGCCCCACAGTAGAGTGTTGGCACTGTCTTACCTGAAGCCAGGTCTCTGAGCTCCAGATGGCTCGTCCTCGTCCCAGAGAAGGCCTGCCGCACTGTCCCAGGGCCCTGTGTCCTTCCTTTAGGGGTTATTCTCCCAGATTCTCAGTGCTGGGGAAGAGGAAATAGGTACAGATTTGTTAGGAGAAGTGGAAGGAGGCTGGTAACCCAGTCAAGGTGGGGATCTGAAAAACACATGAAATTTATTTTCAGCCACTAGCTTGAATGTGTTTCTTGCCAAATGTTTCCAGTGGAGGTATAAAATGATATCTCAGTATTCTCACATAATGAAATATGATTAAGCATGGCCTTGTCTAAATAATTCATTTGTCCTTTCTGTATTGTATCCAGGTTCTTGTTAGCTCAGGATTTCAGCGGGTACATTGGTCCGTGCCATGTTAGCTGCTTGTTTTCACACTGAAGACCTCTTAAGCTGTCTCTTCCAGTGTCGGCTTTGGCTGTGGCAGTCACATGGCCTCCTCCAGAGGGCTTGTAAACACCCAGCAGTGTGTGGCCGAGTCCTCTGCCAGAATGGTGCCTTGCTCTGGGCTCCTGGCTGGTTTCCTTTGCCGCTTCGTGCTTCTCCAGGAGAAAGACACTTATTATGCAGCTCTCGTCCTCCTTTTGAAAATATCACAGTAAAGGATTTGTGGTTTTGGCCATATTTTTTAGCAATTCAATGCAGCATTTCTTTCCCCTTTTTCTTTTCTTTCTTTTTTTTTTTTTTTAATTTTAGATGGTGTTTGCATAGTTGACCAAGGAGAGAAGGATCGAGGGTCAGGGAGAAGTGGGTGTGATCATTGTTTCTAAGCTTTCTATTTCTTCTTCCGATTTCTGGGGGAGGGGGGAGATAAAGGGATAGACCATATCCAACCTCCCCAGCATCCCAGTACCCAAGGATGGGGAAAGGTCACCTGATATCAACCAGGGTCACAGTGGTGCATGTTCTGAAAGTTCTGCCCAGGTGGATGCGATAGTTTTGAAATACTGTTGATCTCGCTGATCTATGGATGAGGAATCCCTTCCAATGTCTATTGGCTGAACCATCGACCTGATAGTGGCCCAGATATTTGCTGTCATTGTTTGGCTGGGGTAGCTGTTCATATGTTCTGTTGTTCTCCGTTCTCTGCTATGTTACCAGATGTCGTCTGCAGGCCCCAATGGGCTACCATGTCCTCCATGTACACCATGGTCCGCTGTCTAGTACTCCATCCTTTATACTGAGGAAGACCAGTTCTCATAGGTGGGCTAATGGACCTGAGCCAGGTGGTCCGGACCAGGTGGTTTTCATGCCACCCTGATATACTCTGCATTTCTGGGAGTTTGCGGCTTAAGGTTATAATTGATTACAGTCAGTCAGTTTTTACATTGATTATTATATCATGAAAGAAATTGCCCTGGGCACTACTGGGGCTGTCCAGAATTCAAGGGACCTTACATTAAAGACCAATGCTTGATCCGTAGACATCAATCTGAAGGCTGGTACACTGCAACTTTGGGCAGACAACAGAGCAGCTCTGCCAGATGCACTGTTAATGAAGGCAGAAGTAGAAGACATGGGGGAAAGATAATGTTTTCAGTAGAACATTGAGGGTAGCAAATTACTGTCGCTGTATGGGAACGACTGATTTTGAGAATAAAGTAGGGCCCAGTGCAATAGCCTAGCAGCTAAAGTCCTCGCCTTGAACGTGCCATGATTCCATATGGGCCCCGCTTCCCGTCCAGCTCTCTGCTTGTGGCCTGAGAAAGTAGTCAAGGATGGCCCAAAGCCGTGAGACCCTGCATCCATGTGGGAGACGCAGAAAAAGCTCCTGGCTCCTGGCTTTGGATGAACTCAGCCCCGATTGTTGTGGCAACTTGAGGAGTCAATCAGCAGACAAAAGATCTTCCTCTCTGTCTCTCCTCCTTTTGTATATCTGACTTTCCAACAAAAATAAATCACTCTTAAAAAAAAAAAAAGAATAAAGTCAATGATTATTGAATAGGCTGCCATGAGGGTGTCTAAATGTGACTCGTGGGCCCAGTTTGATATGTCATAGGCCAACAATAATTGATTATAAATTGCCCAAGGTTAATGAAGAGGCTCCAGGAAGACTCCCAGATGCCAGTGTGTTTCTTTGTGCCAATGGCCTGCTGTATCACCTCAGTGTGTGTTCTGTTCTTGTTTTCAGCACGCACTCCTGGCTTTGAAGTTTATACTTGCGTTCGCCATCCCTGATAAACCACGGCATATCCAGATGAAACTGGCCAGATTGGAATTTGAGTCATTGGAGGCACTTAAGCAGCAGGTAAGACAGTCACCGTCCTGGTAACTGGATCTGTTTCTTTAGCAAATGACAGGAAACATAATTCTGACAAATTGCTATTAGCATTTCCAAGCTAGCACTTAGAAAAAGAACATGCATAGATTTCTAAGCCTCACCCTGCGGCAGCTCCCGATAGTTTCTCATTCTGTCCTATAAAGACATATTAAGGGAGGAGAAGCCAGTAAATAAAATCCCGAGAAATATCCTGCAAAGAGAAAGAAAATTAGAACATGTGGGTGATAGCACCTACAATCGTATTGAAGAGACTCTTGCTTAATTACGTCTACATTCTACTAGAGAACAAACCAACACACACACAAACCTTGCAGCATTCAGCGTTTTGGTGATGTGCCCTGGCTGTCCTGAGCATTGTCTTCAGGGACGTGGGTGTGTAAGCAAGGCGGTGTCATCCAAAAGGACACACTGGTTCAGGTTCTCACACCCTCTCGGTCTCTTTGGCTACAGACCACTTTGCTCAGAAATATTTCTCTTAGCTTAGGCAGCTGGGAGGGAGGTAGGACTTCCGCTGGCACTGTGAAAGAACAAGGACTTCAAGGGCAGTATCCCGGACCAGGAGCCCCGTGTGGAAGCAGCCTTGGCCCCAGATTAGATGGGAGGGTCCCCAGAAGAACACTGGTGATAAGAGTCAGGGAGGAGAAAGCTGGGCCTTCCGTCACAGCTGGCCGGTGATGCTGCTACTGCCCACCCGTGTTTCCTGGAGGCCAACAGGGTCACCAGTGAGTGTGTGTGCCAGGCAGGGTGTTGTGTCATTCCCCTGAGTGGGTCCCCAGAAGCCGTCGCAGCCAAGGTAGGGAGCCCAGTCACATTTGGAACTTGTACCATCTTGGAGATACTTAGCAAACTAGGGTTATGTGTGAGAGGAAGAAGAAGTTTGTTACTAAAAAAAAAATAATATATATATATATATTTCTGAAAAACACAAGGTAAATTATTAAAAATAATAGTAAAACTTGCTAAGGAGGCATGCTTATCTAAAATCACTTATTTCTTTTCACAAGAAATAACCAATTAGAAAAGATCAATAAAGCAAAAATAATTATTTTCAGGAAAAGAAGCATAATGCCTTCAAATGTTGACTTCTGAAAGTGATACGGTTATTCCGTATGAAAAACATTTCAACCCACCTGGGACCAAAAGGTTCCGTCTTGTAGAAATGCAATGCTGATTGTGTAGAAATAAATATCTGAGAATGGCAAGGAAACTTGAAAGTGGACACTGCATTTCTACCAGATGTTAAAATGTATTCTAAGTAATGCATTCGTTATAATAAATGCATTTTGGTTTAGAGAAGAAATGGACAGATCAGTGCGGTAGAGTCCATGAATGAACCCAAATAAAACCGGGAATTGAGTTTATCATAGACATGACCTTTTTTTTTTTATCACTGGAAAAGAAGAATGATTTGTTCCATGATTTAATGGCAGACAGCTGTTTGTGGGAAATTATTCTGCTGTATTATACCTCATTCTTTATAAGCTCCAAACGCCAGATTCAGATGGCACAGAGATTTAAGTGTAGAAGCCATCAACCAAAGAGCATGCAGAAAAAGCCTAGGTTACTTTTTTCAGTCAGAAATGCCATCCAAATTAGGACCAAAAGCTGTAAAGACACACATTGATAAACTTAAAACTTTTATGTGACAGGGATTCCCAGCCCACTTCCCCGGGCGAGTCCGTAGGGCTTCCCAGAAACTCGCGCTAACTGGCTAAGCGAGTGGCGTCTCCAGGATCTCCATTTTTCCCTCATTTCTCTCCCTGTGACATTGAACTTCCTGTCTTGTAACCGAGCACAGCCTTGGGTCCCAGGGCTCCCTCCACGTACAGAAGCAGAGGGCTTCTGCCAGCCCTGTGACTCCAGGTCACAGAGCACTCGCTGAAAACACACTCCGGAGTAAGCCGTGCTGATCCGCACGCTGTGCTGGGCTGTGTCTGGTGACTGAAGTCAGCACTTGGCATTGAGAAATTGTTGTCATCAACAGAAATGGCATATCCACTGCTGCTTATAACACAGTTCCCCCATTTTAGGGACAAAACAGGGTGGATTGAAGTGATCTGTCCTTGCGCGGGACTGACAAGCACCCCACTTGATCCTACGCCTTGAAAATTGTGATCCTCTAACCCAAGCTGAGACCATGAACCTGCCTTCAGAAAGCTCCTCCCATGCTCTGCACCCCTTGTCCCCGGCAAAGTCAGTCTGGAGTGAGTGAGTCAGCAAGTGAGTGCTGAGAACATATGAGTTTTAGACCAAGTTCTGCTGCAGTGTATGTAGAAGTGGACTGGAAATTAGAAGGGTTTTCCTGTCCAGTAGGAAACCATGGTGTTTCTAAATGTATAGGCAAATTAGATACACTTGAAGGTGAGAGGCAAGCTCGGGGAAATATTTGCTCTGCAAAGGGCATTTTCAAATGAGCAGGCTTGGGTGGCTGCGCCCTTTAGCAGGAGGTCTAGACAGTAAATATCAGCCACGCGGTGCCCTTTATTTTTTTTTCAAATTGACTTATTCCATACTTACTCCTTTTAAGATCCAATTAAAAACAGGAGCTTTATCCAGAAATCATCCAAATGCTGGAAACAGCCAGGCCATGGACAAGCTTAAGCCAGGAGTCTGGAATTTCCATCAAGGATCCCAGGATTTTAGCCATGACCCACTTCCCAGGGTGCACATTAACAGGAATGCTGGGTCAGAAGGGAAATTGGGACTCCATTACAGATACTCCCAGACGGGATACAGGTATCCCAAGCAGTGGCACAGCCCACTGTGCCACCATGTCCGCCCCTGGAATGGGCGATTTTGTTGTTGCTCCTTGGACAGCTCTTCCCAGACTCCTACTTTGAAAAGGCACATCTGTTCTGGTGGCAGCATGCACCGAGCTGTTGATTTGACTAAATTTGATCATGGAGTTTCTACTAAGAATGATGCCAGCTTAGAAGGACAGAATGAATCCTGGTATGTTGAGTATTCTTTTAAAATTTTTCTTTCTTTTCCTATTTTTAACTTCTATTTTTCTGTTTTTCAAGAAAGGGGAAAGTGTTAAATGCAAACAGTGGCTGTCCTTCGAATTTGGTGGTATCTGAATGCCTTCCATTTAATTTTTTTTCTTAGTGCTTTTGTTACCATTTGACTTATTTTTTTCTATTTCCTTGTAGCAGATTATCCTGATTTTTCCTTTTGTCTTTGCCTGAGCTGGGTGTGGCCTCTTTCATTCTGACAGCCCAGGCTTTTAGTCTTAGGAGTTGTTGATCTCAGACCCTGCCCTGGAAGGAGCTTTGTGGCCCGAGCTCCCAGCCACACTTCCTGCCTGCAAGTCTGTGTGGAGGATGGTTCTCTCCAGGAAGCTTTTCCTCTAGTGTCTGGTGGGGGGCCCTCAGAGGGCAGGCCCCTTTCTGCTTCCCACCAGCTGATTCTGCCCTGCAGCCAGGAGAAGTCCACTTCCGTGGCTGATGGCGAGCTATATCACTTTTCAGTGATCCTACATGGCAGGCACTAGCTGTCTAGTGTAAATGGAACTGGTACTTAAACTGTAAATGCAGCCGGAGAGGGCACCTCTGTCCTCCTGTCCGTGCTGCCTGTGGCCTCATCTGGAGACAGGCCGAGGCAAGAAAGATGGACTAAGAAGGAGCAGCAGGCCAGCAGGGAGCTGCCAGCAGGGAGCTGTGAGAGCGCTGGTTTCCAGGAGCTGCCTCCTGCTGTTGCGAGGGTGCTCTCTGATACCTTGGTCTGAGTTCCAGTCTGCACTCCAGGAAGAATTCAAGGAGAAAACATAGATGCAGTGAGTGGAGAAGCCAGACTTACTTAAAGGGGGACGTATACACAGGAGGGTCAGCGGGCAACCTGAGAGCACTGTGCTTTTATAGTAGGGGCTGGGGCACAAGGCACACAGTGTCTGGGGCAGGGCTTGGGCGAATGTTCAAAGAAGGCAAGGTTTGGGGCATGACTCGAGTGCCACTCAATTCCATACCCTTGTTTGGAAATCTTGAAAATGGCATGGCATCAGGTGCATCATGGGAGTAGGTGTGACAGAAGGAAAGATCTTCAGTCTGCTGGTTCACTCCCCGAGTAGCCACAATGGCTGGAGCTGAACCATTGCAGAGCCAGGAGCCAGGAGCCAGGAGTCTCTTCTAGATCTTCCACGTTTTGGCAGGGTTTCAAGGCTTTGAGCCATCCTCTGTGACTTTCCCAGGCCACAAGCAGGGAGCTGGAAAGGAAATGGAGCAGCCAGGACCAGAACCGGCACCAGTATGGGATCCTGGTGCTTGAGGGGGAGAATTAGTCAGCTGAGCCATTGCACTAAGCCCCCTCAGTTCCTCTGTGGGCCCCTCCCACCACCTGATGTGTGTGATCTCTTGCATGGCTCTTTTGCTCTTCTGCAGTCAAGGTAGTGTTGTGGATGCTTGACAGGCTCCTCCCTGGCCCGGCTGCTTGCCATTTGTGTTTCCTTTATTCGTCCTAAGAGAGTGACTGGAAACTTGAAAGCTTCAGGCCACTTGCACAGTGGAGGTGCTCAAGTGACTGGCAATTGCTGGAGTGTACTGCACAGGGGGTCAGCCACAGCTCTGCAGAGCTTGGAGGAGGCAGCGGGTTGCTCAGCCGACCTGGTGCAGACCACAGGGGTCCCCATGACAGTGGAATCCAAAGTCTAAACAGCTTTCTGTAGTTGCCGCCTCTTCCTCGTCCTTGTAGGACTGCACCTGTCCTAAAGCTACCCCGACCCACCATGCTCAGGCTGCCTTGGATTCCACCAGGAGTGGCTGCGTTTGCTTTGTCTGATACAGAAGTGATGCTGAGTTGGTGTTGGGGCTGGAGTCACAGGAAGCCTGTGATGTAGATGCTGCAGTGGATGAAAGATCTCTGTCTCTCCTCGTCTGTATATCTGACTTTGCAATAAAAATGAAATAAATCCCATCTAGGGATCCAGCAGGAGGTGGCTGCACCCCACTCCCAGCTGGTCCCAAGGACATGAT